TCCAGCCGGGTGACAGAGTGAAACTTCGTCTCAAAAAAAAAAAAAAAAAAAAACCAACAACAACAAAAAAAAGTTTTTGAATTCTCAGGAAGAATTCAACACATCACAAAAACTGGTTTTCTTTTTTTTTGAGTCAGGGTTTCACTCCTGTCACCCAGACTGGAGTGTAACGGTGCGATCTCGGCTCATTGCAACCTCCGCCTCCCAGGTTCAAGCAATTCTTGTGCCTCAGCCTCCCAAGTCACAGGGATCACAGGCATGTGCCACCACACTTGGCTCATTTTTATATTTTTAGTAGAGATTAGGTTTCGCTACGTTGGCCAGGCTGCTCTCAAATTCCTGGCTTCAAGTGATCCGCCCATCTCAGCCTCCCAAAGTGCTGGGACTGCAGAGCCACCATGCCCCACCTAAAAAAAACCGGTATTCTCATAAAGATAAACACACACACATATGTGTGTAAAACACGTACTTCCAGTTCTGGCTCTGCTGCTCACACATTGCTTCCTTCAAAGTCTCAAGATCTGTGGTTCTACGAATGAGCGTCTCTTATATACGGTTACATATTAGTTTTTAAAATTATATGCGTATATATACACACATCCACACATACATACACTGTGGGGGAGGGACTGAGACAAAACGCAAAGCAAATACTAAATATCTAGCACCCTCAAGTGGCCAACTGTGTTGTTTCTCATTCTGATCTAAAACTGAAACTTACCTTACTAAAAGTCAAATTCTGGTTTGCCCAGAACTGTTGATTCCATTCTTGTGTTTCTTGTCTTAATTTTCTAAGCTTTTGTTCCGATGGCGATTCATTTTCAGGTATGTAAAAGTGAACAGGTCGAAGGTTTGAATATTTGTCTGGGGGTCCTATCCAGTCATGGCAAGACTTTCTTGGAGGGCAGAATCTTGACACCTTTAACGAAGTAAATTGGATTAACATATGACAAAACGAGCATCTAGTATTATAAAATGCACAATCTGGATTGATTTATTTATTTAGAGACGAGTCTTGCTCTGTCACCAGGCTGGAGTGCAGTGGCGTGATCTCGGCCACTCCCAATCCTCCCAAAGTGGTGGATTACAACTGGGATCCACCACACAGGGCCTAGTTTCTGGTTTAAATAGTAACAGCCCTTTCCCAAAACTCAACCACCTTTGCTAAGCTTTCTGAAGCTAATGTGAGACCCCACCAGGCTAGGAAGAGGTGAGGAGTCTGAATTCGGGTAAGGTGCCAGCCGTCATTCCAGAGGTCACAAGACCTGCAACTTCTCCAATTACTCCTGCATCTCTATTGCAGAACCTAAGATTGGTCTTTTGAGGTATCTTTTCAGGTGTTTTGCAAGTCCAAAGTGATGGCTCCTCCTGGACCCGCCCAGAAGCCACTCGGCAGGCAGGAGGATGATTCTCACACCCCTGTGATTGCGCCCTGACCAATCGGCAGCAAGCACCCACTGCCCAGCCACCGCCACCCCTTACTCCAAACTATTTTAGAAAAACTCTAGCTCCCAAATGCGTGGAGAGACTGGTTGGAGTAATAACTCTTCCATGTAGCATGGCCGGCCTCACATCAATTAAACTCTTTCTTTTTTTTTTTTTTTTGAGACGGAGTCTTGCTCTGTCACCCAGGCTGGAGTGCAGTGGTGTGATCTTGGCTCACTGCAACCTCCACCTCCCG